GTAAGGCCAGCAGCAGAGATGGTACCTGTGTTCTCCACTGCTCAGCAGGCCAGCTCCTTGCCTTTGGAAAAGGAGAGAAGGCCAAACGGAAAATACTGCAGATGAGAACTGGCCATCATTCATTAATGTCAAAAACTCTTAACACTAAAGACAGTCTCTTTTGATACCAGATGCAAAATACTTTGACATGTGCTTTAGAGGCAGGTGGAAACTCCCACTTGAGCATCATTCAGCCACCAGAAGCGTGACTGGCTGGATGTCAGGTATTATGTTGATGTGTATGCAGAGGGTTGGGGAAGAGAAGGTCACCTTTGCCTAGAGTGTTTGATGACCCCTAGTGCCCGGCCAGGAATGAGCGATAGATCCATCCAGGCGAGGTGCTCTCTGAACTCAGGTTGGAGGGACTAAGGATTTGTGCTCTATACCTTGGCCAACCTGGACTCATGACCTGGTTCAGGTTATACTTCTCTGCAGGAATATCTTGTGTGGGTATCATTTTTTTCACCTTTGAACTGAAAGTAGCATGGATCATGGCTTGTCTCATCCCCTTGACTTACTCTTTCCTCCTTTTATTCTGTGCTGTGAGGTTACATAGATACTGTGTCCAAAGAGACAGATTCAGAGTATGAGTTCTCTCTGCTTGTGATGCCTGAGTGTCCTGCCCCAAGAAGTGGAAGGTGGCTTTCACTTGCCTATGGGAACCATGCACAGCCCTCCCGTAATCCTCTCTGAGCCCATCTCCTGCTCTTCTCCTTTTCCATCCCCCCATCAGGTGGGGAGGAACTCTGACACTGTGTAGACTTTCATTGTGTTCCTATTTATTTATTTTTATCAGCAGGGACTGAAGGACTGAAGAATTCTTATTATAATCATTGGCTGCAATCTAATGTTATCTCATTTTTGATGTTCAAGTTGACCCCAGGGGCACTCTACCACTGAGCTACATCCCCAGCCCTTTTTGAGACAGGGTCTTATTACTAAGTTGCACAGGTTGGCCTTGAACTAGCAGCAATCTTTCTGCCTCAGCCTCCGGAGTAGATGGAATTGTAGGTCTGCGCTGCTGGGTCTGGCTCTCCTTTCTTTTCTAAATGTACCTCTTGTCTAGATGAGAAACCACAAATTGCAACAGTATCACCAATTCCTGCAGCCATAACATGGTTAGAAGGCTCTCCTCTCTCCTGTTAGACATCCCCTTCTCCAGTGTAAGAAAGGTGGCTCCTCGTTTTCTTCATGTAAGATTCCTGATTGATGGACCCTTCTGTATGTAACCAGTTTCCTGTTACCTCTTCCATCCCATGGGCCCTCAAACTCCTTCAGGTATCACAGCAATTCCAAGCCAGCTGTCTGAGGGCAAGACCCCCGTAGTGGATCTCACCTAGTGTTTGTCTCTACCTCTGCCCACATTCTAGACTGTCCTCTGAGATTGTCAGGTGGACAACCTGTCCTCCAGGTTGCAGATGTGTTGTTGGTGGCTCACTCTTCCTCCTCTCTTCCTCCTTCACTGGTGCATTATAATTTTATGTTTCAGATTCATTGAAGATGCTCCTCTCTTATTACCTCCTGTTGACCTGGGGTCCAGTCTGGCTCTGTTTTGGAGTCCCCCTCCACCCCTTTTACTTCCTGCTGTCCTGGTCACCTCCCTGGACCCTATTCTTTAGACTGTCTGCCTTAAATGTCCCTAATACTCCCTGTGTGTTAGCCATCCATGATTCATTAGCTCACCAAATAGGGTGCTTGACCCACCTTGGCCTTGGCTTCTTGGCCCTTTCCTGCCCCTCCATCACAGCTGACTGGTTGAGTTCTTATGGATGTTCCTGTGTTCTCACGAGATCCGAGTTTTACCTGTGGACACTGCTGCCCCCCTCCCCCAGCCCCACCTCAATGCTGTGTACAGATGGGGGATAAGTCAGTCTTCACTCCTTCCCTCCAAACCTGAGCTCATACACTGCTCAAAAAATGATTTTTTTGGTAGATGAGTGAAAATGTGAGGCAGTGGATGTCTGGGAGCATCTTCCAGTTTCCAGTGACAACCCAAGGTCATGAGAGGTCCCTCAGCCCTTTCTGAGGGAAACTCATATTTGGTGTTAAAGTCTATCTCATCGGGCTGCAGTTCTAGTTCACTGGTAGAATGCTTGCCTAGCACATGTCAGGCACTGGGTTCTATCCTCAGCACCACATTTTTAAAAAAGTCTTTGTGTCACCAGTTTCTTCTGGGTTTTTACCCTCAGCCTGGTGATGCAGCCTCTGGGCCTGATGCCTGGTTAGCTGATGTCTGTCTTAAGCTCTGCAGGCTCCATGCTCTGTGAAAAGAACTTTATTTTGTTGCTGGGGACCAGGTGCAGTCAGAGGCTAAGATGAGACCTTAGCACCGTGGATTGTGGCAAAGCAGAAAGAAAAGCAAAGGTTGGCCAGAAATTTGGTGCTCCCCGTTGCCCCAAGAAGGAGCGAGGTGAGTCTACATTTCAGGTTTTGTGTGGGAATCTTGTCAGTCTCTGTAGATGGCTTTTCCTGCATTCCTCCAGTTGGTGCTGCTTCCAGACCCCCCCCCCTACTACTTCCCAGGGTGCCAGAAGGGTGTGGCCTGACATGGGAGGTGAGTAACCAACATTTATGGTGGGGAAGTAGAGCAAAGCAAAGGACATTTTCATTCCTGTAGCAGCACTTATTGCTCCTGCGCAGTGTTGTATGTGGAAAATCCCAGACGAAGGTTAGGAATTACAGACTGGTGGCACGAGTCAGATGATCACACAGAAGGGTTATAGCACCACGTACGAGGTCTGCTCAGGAATGGGGGATGATTAACTAGTCTGGTGGGGGTGGCAGGTAGGTAGGAGGTGACTCTTCAGCTGTGTCCAGAAGAATGGCATTTTTTTCAGCTGGAAAGGAGAATGGAAAAACTGGAATGAGTTCTAGGGCACAGAGCAGAAGAAATCTGGTCTAGTAAGACTGTGAGGCTGGTGTGGAGTGTTGGCTTTGGGGACAGGGAGAAGGGGCTGGAGGTCTCCAGCTGGTGAAGGGATGGTTGGGAAGTCCACTTGGGTTTCATTGTTCTGAACTTTGGCCGAGAGACCTTGGCTGTGACTGCTGATTCTTCCTGGGATTGAGCAGTGTTGAGATCAACCAGTTTGTTGTCAACTGTGAGATGTATCACATGCATGTAATTCATTACCAGTAATAAAGAGCAGGGATTTTCTGAGTGACATACTCTTTTAAATATGTACAAATAGGCTCAGGCATCCCTAGAATAAAAAGTCTTCTTCATTGTTTGCCTTCCAATAGAGTGGGCATGGGCAGCACAGTGTCTGTCTTACCAAGTGGACCCAGAGAGTACAGAGCCTGGTACTCTTGTTCAAGGAGGTTTATCATGTTTGGGGATGTTTACTGCTAAATTCAGATTCCTCCTGCTTGTTCCCATGGGCACTGTATAGTAAGGGTGGTGGCAGAGTTAGCTGACTCCTGAAAGAAGTGTTTGCACTGCTTATGCCCCCTGATAGGCAGTAGAATTTACATTCCTTTAGGGCAGCTAGTAGATACTGCTGTGCACACTGCCCTGGGGTTAGATGCTGGGAATCCAAAATAAATGCAGTACAGATGTGTTCTCAGGGATCCTTAAATTACCTGGGGGACAGATGTGTATGTAGGAATATGACTGAGAGAACTAAAGTTCTCTGTCAAACAACAACAAATACCCTGCCTTAGCATTTTCCTTCTTTCCTTCCAAAATATGACTGAGAGAACTATAGTTTAAAGAAGCTGTAGAAAAAAAAATTAGTAATGAATGAATACAGAAAACTGAATGAAGGGATAAATATAGGGAAAGATAAATAATGATCTCATTTGATGGGGTGGGGGGATAAGAATATATGTGCAGGGGCTGGGGATGTGGCTCAAGCGGTAGTGCGCTCGCCTGGCATGCGTGCGGCCCGGGTTCGATCCTCAGCACCACATACCAACAAAGATGTTGTGTCCGCCGAGAACTAAAAAATAAATATTGAAAATTCTTTCTCAAAAAAAAAAAGAATATATGTGCATCTGCCCTATGATGATTGCATGAGAAACTGAAATCCAGAAAGGTGCATTCTGGGCAAGGAGGTATCTTTGGTTTTGCTTATTTGTAGTTGAAAGTTGAAAAGCAGCCATTCCATTCCACCGCAGAAACGGAAAGATGGATATTTAGTGCCAGAACCTGAGAGATTGAATTGATGACTGGAATTTGCACATGTGGTAGCCATAAAGGCCCTGCCCAGCCCACCCAGACTGCTCTCCCAATATAAGGCATTTGAACTTGCAGATCTGAGGTTAGTGTTAGATCCCCAGAGGCTGAGCTCCGGGACACAGTAGGTCATTAGAACTGCTTAAGGGCTGGGCCAAGAGCCAAGGCCAGTTGGGCCACATTGCTAGGGCTATACACTGAACTGGCCTGAGGCTCTGATGCAGGGGTCTTTTCTACTGCACTCCACAGATCTCAGGGAGTGGCTTCCGGTTGAGCACATCCATCTTCAAAGCAGTCTTTTACATTTGTTATAAGTTAGATTTGCCATAGAACTTCATTTTGTGGAAAGCGAGATCTACTGCTCTGTGAAAATGCACAGGAGGACACAGTCCTGTGGAAGTCCCTCAAGCATTGGAGAGGTGTTGTTTTGTCTTGGGGGGAGGGTCTCTTCTCTTGCCTTTTCTAAGTGACCCTTGCACTAGCCTGCTTTCCCCCTACCTAGTCTTTCAACTCTAGGTTTCTAATATTCTTCCCAAATCCCAGACTTAGAATGGGAACACAGGACTTGGGTTGAGCTGTGTTTTGTCCTGATTTTCTAGGAGAGGGATGGCACTAGGATGGCACCCAGGATGCAAAGCTTGGGCAGTCATTTACTTTTGAGTGTCGTTTGAAATCCCTGCTGGTCATCGTCCTCCTCAAGCAAGGTCGCCCTCCTTGTTTTTCTTAGTTGAAGAAGCAAATTGTTGGGGAGGACCCCAAATACCACCCTGCCTTAGCGTTTTCCTTCTTTCCCTTCCAGGAGTACTGCTTGCCGGGTAGTGTAAATTACCGGTAGATACTGCCCATTACAGATGCGGGGTTTACTGGATAATAGTCAAGATTTTAAAATTCCCAAAGCCTAAGAGCCTGCCGGTTTCTGATTCTTTTAAGCCTCTTGGTCAGCGTGTTTAGAGAGGTTTGAAATCCTAGTAAAGCCAAACCCCGAGCCAAGCGTCGGTAATTCCAGTCAGATGGCGGCTGGCAGGCGCCCCCTCCCCTCCCTGGAAGGCGTTTCTTCACCCACTTTTGCCGTGTCTGGCCGAGCAGCCTTCGCCTGGGCTCTCAAAGCTGCGGTCTGGGGCGGGGGAGGGAGGGCTAATTCGTGTCAGATGGAGGGACGCCGCGCGGGGCCCAGCGCTCTCTCCTGGCTTTTGTTCCCGGCGTCTGACTTCTGACGGGCAGAAGCGGCCGAGGAGGCGGTGCACGGCACCCACTGGCTGGCGGCCACCCAGAGCCCTTTCGGGTCTTGCGGGGTTGAGCATTTCCTGGGACTCCCGAACGCAGGGTGCCTCGGAGGCATCTTCTTCCCCAGACATCGGCTGGCAAGGGTCCTAACCCGGCGGGCTCTCCGTGGACCGTAGGGGCGGCCATGCGGCTGCGCGCCCTGACCCCCGGGCCGCCAGCTAGATTAGCGCGCGAGGTTGGGGCGCGTCGGCGCCGGGGCCAGGTGAGTGCGATGCAGACTTGGGGCTCGGGGTCAGGGCTGCGCAGGGTGCAGCCACCTTTCGGCCCGCACACATGTGGGCCATGAGGCTGTGCGCGCGTGCTCGTGTGTG